CCAGCCGATCGCCCGCCGCCCCGCCCCGGCGGGGCCGGGGGCGAGAGGCACTGCAGGCGGCGCAGCGGGCGGCGTGCGAGGCGGCACGGCGGGCGGGCGAATGGGCGAGCGGCTGGCTGGCGGTGGGTGGAGGGAGGGCGGGACACTAGGCGCGGCGGGCGGGCGCGGCAGGCGGCGGGCGCGGCGGCACGGCGGGCGGGCGAGTGGGCGGAGCATCCGGTCAAGCCGGACACACGTCCACGTACGAGCCGCTGTCTTGGTCGATCATGTAGCAGTCGGCCTGCTCCTCCAGCTCCTTAATGAGCTTGCCGGTGCACCCGGCCTCATCAAAGTGCAGCGACACGTGCGTCATGTTGCGGCACTCCGCCTTTGTCGAGACGCCGCCATCCGCCCACGAGATTTCCATGCAGTTGGCGTGCTTGCCGTCGTCGTTTGTGCAGTCGCCAGAGCACGCGCCGCGGGCGGCTCCGCAGCCCTCACAGGTTTCGTACATCGGGACGCCTTCGGCGGAGCAGTACTTGCGCTCGTACCTTATGTTGGCCGAGCCGGCGGGGATGTTGGCCGAGCCGGGCTCGACTCCGCAGTGCACGGCTGCCTCGTCCCCGCAATGGTGGCACCCCGCAGGGACCAACGCGTCGACTGATGCATACGCACGCATGGCTGCACAGCCGCCGGCGGCGTCAAATTCTGTGACGCACTTGCCGCAGCTGTCGGCGGTTTGTGCAAAGGAGGTCGTGGCGGTAAGAATGGCCAGCATATCTGTGTAATGTCCGCCACAAACAGGCGCCGACGGAATCTGAATCACCCTGTGAACGTGTCATGAAAAGCGGACCCTTTTGCGTGCATACGTGGCTGGCAGGCTGACCCGTGTGCGGGGTAACCCGCGCACGGGGAAGCTTCACGGGTTCGAGTCGTCAAACATTAAGCAGCGGAGGTGTGCCGAGGGGGACCGGGAGGCGGTAAGTCCTCTCTCTCGTCGCCCGCTGCTTGCAGCACCATGGCGATGGCTCTAAGAGGTTCCTCTTTTCCGCGCGCCCCCCGCAAGGCGCGCAATACACACAATGAGATTGTGCGTGTGTGTGTGGACGCGAGACTAGCGCCGTTCATGGAGGCAACCGATGCGAGTCGACTGGTGTGTGTCGTCGTGGTTTCGTATCAAGGATACTCACTCACCGTGAGATTGTGCTTGAGACAGCTGCGCTTTCTTTCGGAGGCGGGCGATGGGTGACGGTTGTAGTCTCAAAAACCGGCTGCGTCCACAGGGCGTTCCACTCGGTGGGCACCTCTCTTACGCCGTCGGGCTTCGGTTTTCTGTACTCCATGCGCGGCGCCGGCGCCAAGATCTTGAGCGCGACAGAGCGCCGGCGATGGTCTGGCTGGGCCAACTGAGCCACCAGCAGCTGCTGCGCATCTTTTACTGGGGCTGCACGCCGCCGCTGCGGTATAATATGCTGCGCTCGACGGTCGCACATTCGCATGCGGTGCCATCGCCTCCGGTCTCCGGAACAAAACTACGCGACGTTGACGTGCGCTGCGGATGGCGCCAGAGTGATAAGTGGCATGTTCGACGCCCTTGCTTTCTTCTTTCATGAACATCGAGGTGGCCTGGAAGTGTGTATCCCGTGTTTTGGTGCGTTCGCACACGACAGTAGTACCCACGTACCCAGTTTCGGGAGTGGAGGTCGCCGCCCGGCAGGCTGCCGCCGTGCGCAACGGAAGCGAGCGATGCTCGCGCTGCTCGGCGCGCGCAGGAGCGGCGGACAGCGCGCGGGTGGCGGCATAGCGTGGGCGGAGAGTGGCAGGCAGTGGGCGGCATTTCTCTCGATGCAAAAGTTGGGTCAGCAGATCCGGCGTGCAGCTTCGATCTCGGACCCCCTGAACTGCCCCTGAACGCACGCGCTGCTGCTCCGCTCTCTTCTCTCTCCGCATCGCACTCGCATGCACTAGGCGCCTCAGCGCCTCACCGCGTGCGGCAGCACGTGTGTGCGCCAGAGGTCCACCAGCCCCGGCGCCGCCCCCTCGCCCTCAAAGCGCTCCTCGTCCCACGCGATCAGGTAGCCCCGCCGCATCACCTCGACCGCCCGCTTGCGAGCCGCCTCCGGGAAGAGCTCGTGCGACTGCGGCGACCGCTCCGCCGCCTTGAGGATGAGCCTTCCCACCGCCACCGCCTCGGCCGCTGGCTGCAGGTTACGGGCAAGTTGTGGCAACAAAAAGTCCCCGAGAACACTGGCACGCACTAGTTGGGGTGAAGACGATCGAACGTTGTTCCGACACGACGACGACGCCTTGCTCGTAACAGCCACCGGACAACTGTTAGTCTAATGGGAGAGGATGACCTGTCCTGTGGTTAGTCCGGTGTCTGTGTGACCCTTGCCCAGCCCCCTGCTAGCCGCGAGACTGCCCTGCTAGAGCCGCGACAGACAGAGCCGCGAGAGACGGAGCCGCGACAGTAGCCACGCAGCCAAGACGCTGGCGAGATACAGGGGGGGGACACATGCGGGTAGACACGGCGCTAGCCTTCTCGTGCATCCCTGGACCCAGCCTCTGGGCCTCACTCAAAGCGCCCGCCTTCTCGCCGAGATACAGCCGAGATACAGCCCGAGATCGCCGAGATGCACCCGCCCCAAGGCGCCCGCCTGTTCGCGGCAGTGCATCGTGCAGGACGACGTGCAGTTCTTGCGCAAGGAGGTGGCCAGGCTGCACCTCTCGCTGCCAAGCGGCTGCTGCCCAAACCTGGTCGCCTTCGCGCTCGCGATGCCGGTGGCGTAGTCCGCCCGGCCGCTGCAGGGGGCGGGCAGGGGTGGAGAGGCGAGGCCGAGAGGCGAGGCGCGGTGCCGCGGCGGCGGCGAGCGAGCGGTGTCGAGTCAAAATCAAGGTTTTGTAACGCGAGCTACGGTGAAAAACGCGTGCCTGACCGGGCTATCCCACCCATGCGATCGCGCTGCTCGGACGGGGCGGCGCGGTGAACGTTGCGCTGATGCGAGCGGCGAACTTGGCGGGGCATACCAACTAAAGTGATGCTCGGTATGATGAGCCTCTGCTTGCTAGATAGAGGAACGGTTCGTGCGCCCGCCCGGGTTCGTTCGTCCTCCTCCAAGCAAGTGCTCGTTCGTGCGCATGCATGCGGTCGGTGGACTCGTCCCCCCCGCGCCGGCGGGGACGATTCAGATTCAGAGGTAGGCCAGCGATTCCGTGTGCGAGTCTCGCTCGGCGAACCCGCTTATAGCAAAGAAGGGGTAGGGCGTGGGCCTGTGGGTTTAGGTTAGGGCGCACCCCACCCCCCTCAACGCAAACACTGCCCAAGAATCTGAATCAAAAAAGAAGAAAGTGCGGAGTGGCGTGAGGTATGCGTGTGTGTAAAAGAAAGAAAGAAAACAGACAACCCAAGGGAGGGATAGGAGGACGGCACGCCGCGTGTGTGACTGCGACAAGGGACCCTTGGGTTTGTATTATTAACGACGAAGGCGCTCTCAAAAAAGAAGAAACAAACTCCGTGAAGAGATCGGCTTTCCACCGCCGGCATGCCAATGCACGTGATTCAGAACGTCCTTGTGCTTGCCACCATCGCCACGTTGCGCTCGACGGCTCGCTGGACGCTTTCCTCCTGTGGTGGATCCGCCAGCTTCAGCCTCAGGCACCAGCATCACCCTCAGGCGCACGTGAGCAAGATGGGCAGTATAGGTGCCGTGCCGCTCTGGGACGCACTTGAGGCTCAGGGCGGGTGCACAACGCCTCTGACCGGCACCTTCTCAGAACAGCATCCAGCCCGCGTCTCGTCACCATGGTGTGTGAACAATGCCAGTTGCTGCTCGGCCCGGCGCATGGAGGGCGGCAGGCATGGCGTTTGGAGAACGGCACAGCAATGGCAGCAAGGGAATCATTGCGCGCCCTCGTGGCTGCAGCCAGAGGAGATCATGGCCTGTCTGAAGGGACGGGTGCTGGCTTTTGAGGGCGACTCAGTCACGCGGCAGCTCATAAATCGCCTCATCTGGTGGTTGCGCGGTCTACCGGCCATCTGGGAGCACCATTACTCCGTCAATGCGATCTACGAGTTTGACAGGCACCGCGATATGTTTAGGCTCCTGAAAGCGGACGGCAAACCTACTCCAGTGGGCAAGCCTCCTTTCGGCCGGCATCCCGACGAGAATGGCACCTTTCGCGGCACGTTCCCTGATCAGGACGCCCGGCTTGCCAGTCACGTGGACTCGTGGCTCACGCGCAGTACTTCTAGGGCGGGCGCACTGCTCACCTTCCGCTGGGGTGGCATCTATGGCGATGGAGCCGACGCGCAGCTCCGCGCCGGCAAGAAGGAGTGGTCGCAGCGAGACACACCAAGGCTGTCGGGCAACGCATCCGTGTACGGCAAACTCGCTCGTGACAATAATCTGCTTGCCGGCATCATCATTGGACGCCACGGGCACTTCAAGTTTGAGGCACCCGCACCAAGCGGTGAGTGGACTCATGAGTACGACACTCTTGACCTCGACACGATGAACGCCAATGGTGGTGCAAGCCACTACTATGCACGCAACTTACTCTATGTGGCCGAAAGGAAGGACCCGCGGATGGGCAACATCCATTCTCTGCTCTCGCGCACGCGATGGAACCAGACGTGGGACATGCCAGAGGCAGAGGAGATGTATTCGCTGCCATACTTGGATATGCACTTTCAGTGTGCCTTCATGGAAACATGGCCACAGGCGGCAGCGAGCTGGAAGATGCCGATCACGGCAGATTGCCGCGACCTGCTCGGATTGAACGCAATCCAGGCTATCCTCGGGCGTGTCTGCCACTCGAAGCCACGAGCCGCGTCGGCCCGTAGTAAACCGCGGTAGCAGCTCAAACGCGGTAGCAGCTCAAAAACACCTACTAGTAATCCCCCCTTTGTTATCCTTACTGTCCTGACAAACTCTCTCTCTTCTCTCTCTCTGTCCTGTAGTCTCCGCGATGCATGTTGTTCTTGTTGAAAGTGGTTAGACGCGATACGAACTCGGCCGTGCATGTACACAGTGCGAAAGGAGGCGGCAGATGACTCGGAAAAGAGGAAGATATCATGTCGCGGCCAATAATGGTGGTAACACACAGCAGTGAACGGCGGCTGGAGAAAACCCCGAAAGTGTGCTCGATCACCGCCGCGTCACCAGGGCCGCTCGGGCTCGCGGTGCTTCTCTGCTCGGCGGTCACCGCCGCGCTCGCCATGCCGCTCGGGCGCGCGGTGCTTCTCCGCTACGACTCGATTCTGAACGCGAGCAGCGGCGACGAAGCGTGGGCCACGCACGCCCCGTATTTGGACAAGAGGAGGCATCAATGCCACGCGAAGGTGATGGCTCCCCGTGGTGAGCCATCTCTGCGAGTCCTCGATCACGAACTTGTGCAGCTTCGAGACGCCGTCTATGTAGATGGGAGATTCCACGTGCGGGCCGACAAACACTCTATGGCCGCACTCGCAACGATCATGGCACGCCAGCAAGGCCGCGATGCGCTCGACGACATCTCAAACACGGACGTTTGCAAGCAGCGGTCGCATGTCGAGGCATGCGTGAGCGCTGCCGCCCGAGAGGTGATCACAGACACAGATGGCAGAAAGGGTTGGAAGATGGCTGCATCCGGCTGCCCAGCCCCACATCGCTGCCCGCCCATGTTCAGCGTGCACAACAGCACCCTCTTCGTCGTGTCGGCTATGTCGATGCAACAGCCACAGCAAGGTGGCTCACGCCCAATCTCGAGAATTGAGCTACTTCAGGACAGGGCGTTTGCCAGCCTCTTGTGCCAAAAGTGCCACACCACGCGGCGAGTGCGCGACGCCTTTGCATTCGCTGCACGCTACAACTGCCCATCACTCTTCGGCGGAAGCTTTGGGGAGTGGCTTAACGAGGTCTTCATGCCGGGCTACCACATGAGCACCGTCTCGTGGACGAAATGGATGGCGGGGCGTGGTGCCCCAGTGGCGCTATTCGAGCAGTCCGGCACGCGCACATGTCCACTCAGGGCACAGTCCGGCCGGCTGCGAGCGGGCTGGTCAATCGACACATGGGGCGGCGCGGGGCTGCGCATGCTGCCGCGAGCCCAGCCCCACCGCTGTGTCCGCGTCGACAATATGATCGTCGGCGTCTCACGGGCGGCAGACTTGACCGCGAGACGAAGCGCAGCACAGTCTGCTGCCCTGACGGCCGAGCTTCACGGGCTGCGGGCCCGACTCATTAAAGAAGGGCGATCGAAATGGTCTGGGTCACCGGTCTGGGCGCGTGTGTCAAACCGCAGCTCTGCCAGGCCCCAGTCATTGCTGTGGCTCAAGCGCTCCAGACGTCGCGCCATGGCTAACGACACTGCAGTGATCACTGCGGCGCACACCGCCGGCCTCGACGTCGTCTGGCCACGCGGCAGCCGCCTTGGCGAACGGCTCGACCTCATGGGACAGGCCGACGTTATCTTCCTGCCGCATGGCGCCGACGGCGCCAACCTTGTATTCATGCAGCCGTGCACACTCCTCGTTCAGTTGTGCCCGTGTGGCTACAGAGACAAGGACAGTTGCGAAGCACACTATTTTGGAAACTTGGCAAGGGCCCTTGGTGGCGGGTATGTAGCAGCCCACCTGCAGCACGACGAGAATCCTACCTCACGACGTCAATGCGTCGCGGCGAGGAAGAAGTGGAATACGGCGACCATGTTTGCGAGTGAACCATTCTTGATCGCCTTGCTGGCGCACGCAATCAATGAGTACCAACGCCTTTTCACCAATTGTACGCGTTCCCTGCACACCGTGCCCGGGCGGACGCTCCGCCGCCAAGAGCAGCGCTAAGAAGACCGCGGCTCTCGCTCGTCCCAGGGATGTGGCCGTGTCTTTTGATTCAGGCGCCGTCCCTTCGACTCGTGTCGTGCGACCGCCTTTTGTTGTAGCTCGAGATACGCCCCCGAGTTTATTTTAATTACAACAGAGCCGGCGATCGCGCAGCACAGAGCACACAGGGATTTTAAGGAGTCCAGAGAAGTGTGGTGCTAGCCGTCGCCCGCCCACCCTTGGGCCTAGCCTTGGGCGTCTGCCTCTTCCTATCTCTCTTTGCAGTCTCTCGCCAATTCTCGCAGCGACCTTCATGCCGCCTCGCGTTCTTGGTTCGTCCCACTCTCGTCGTTCTCTCTCCTGCGCTGTTTCATCCTCTGACTCGTCGCTCTCCTCTGCCTCGTTCTGCGACGACGCCGCCGCCTGCCGATGGCAGCCCATGTGGCGGAGGGCATGCACTGGGGTGTTCATGGGGTCCCGTACCATGCGGAATCGACCCTCAAGGAGCTTGTAATGAAAGCGAGCGGCGACTTGATCCTACCCACGGAACGTCGCCGCATAGCATTTTATCTCCTGCGTTCGCATTTGGGCGGGAGCGGCCGCACACTGCTCGGTACCCCCCCTTGCACAATTAAGCTCATCCCTGCTGCTAAGGGGGGGGGGGGGGGGGTCGGCCATGAGTTTAGATGTGCAGGGGGGGTACCGAGCAGAGAGACAGAAAAACAACTTTTTGGTTTGTGTTGCCGAGCAGTGTGCGGCCGCTCCGGCCATCACCACACTCCCTAGCTCAACTGGCGACCCTATAGGGTCGCCAGCCGATCGTAATTCATCGCATGAACGGCGCCATCTCCGTATGGCGACGCCCGACGTCTGCGGCAGCGCCGGCGGCGAGGGTCGGCCGCTCGCGTTTAGCTCCGCCGGTGCGGTGCTGAGCGCAGCTTCAACGGGCTCCAGCGCGCAGGTGCGCGGCGTGCGCTGCCGCGTGCTCGACCTCTTCAGCGCGACGGTGCCTCACATCTTCGACCCGACCGTCTTCAGGCAGGGCGACCCCGTCCACTTCAAGTTCACCCGCCCGGCAGCCTTTGAGCCTACACCATCGACCCCATGATGGCCGCCGCGTTCGCTTTCTAGCGGCGCTACGGTAGCGGCGTAATGTGGTCTTCCGAAGCACGAAATAACACTGAATTACCAAACGCAAAGCCTCACCCGCTGTCACGTCTCATCCCACACAACATCAACAAGCCGGTCGCGGTCTCCGCGCACGCCGCGCACCTCTCGGCTCAATGTGTCGCGAGATCACGCCGTCGTTCATGTGCACGTCGCCGCGCGGCCTTGACGCTTGAGGCCCCGCGAGCGTGCACTGAGGTCAGCACGACTCGTCCCGCCTGTGGGAATCGAAAACAGTGGAAGGAAAAAGAAAAGGCACGGCGTCTGTTCACAGCCAGAGTGAAAGAGCGCGTTCACGGCCGCGGCGACAAATGTGAGCATATTCCAATTCAGTCGGTCCACGGCTGCTCCCCTCAAAATTTCATGTCTTGCCGCGTCGCGCCACCCTCGCCACACGGGGGCACACGCGAGTGGCGCGTACGCATCCAGAGCCCCAGCGCCGCCAGCAGCACGTCCACCGACGACAACGTGGCACACGCTTTGGACGCCGAGGTCGCGGAAATAACAGCCTCATTGATTCGAGCGGACATTGCAGCGGGCCGCGCCAGCCTTGGGTGCAAGCGCGCGTCTACCTCGCCACCCGCTGACGAGGGTGGCACACGGCTCACGTCGCACTGTGCTAGAGTCTGCAACAAGCTCGCCAAGATGAGCTACGACGACATGCGGGACCTGCAGCGCGCCGAACTTGCGGGGCCCACTGAGGCCGGCTACGCGCTCGCGGAGGCTCAAGAACCGGTGGGCCCATTCCCAGCCGGATAAAGTCGACTGAGAGCCCCACATCCTATTTGCCGCGTTGCCTTCGATTTCGCGGCGCCCCTCTCCGCGCCGCACCGCGCCGCGCCCCCGTGCACCCCTCTCCCCCAATTTTGTGCGCCGTCCGTCAGAGGAACGCTCTCACCCCGGCCGGCGGCCCAACCGCCCCCGGGCGTTATAGAGCCGCGGGCGCCCCGGGCCCCGCTGGCGCTGCGTGTCCGCCTCAGCTCTCCCGTTTAGCCGTATCCCGTAAGCCCCCCGCGCCCGTGTGCGCGCGTTTGTGTGTGTGTGTGTGGCGTCAGCACCAGCACCAGTGCCAGTGCCAGTCAGTGCCAGGACCAGTGTACCATTGAAGATTTTTCTTGAAAACAACACGCCCGGCCTCCACAAAACTCCTGCGCCCCCAACACGTTTTGAGACGTGTGCCTACCCCCGGCCCCCGTGCCGACTGGTGTGTGGTGACCGTCCTACGGCTCTAGCCATCTGCAGTGTCGCCGCTCTCATCGGCGCCAAGGACCGCATGTCGCTTGGCCTCGGCAATCTCATCGGAGAAGAAGAAGAGGTTCTCCTCGGGCTCCCACGAGTCGAGACGTCGTCGCGCTGGGGGAGAAGTGCCTCCACCGCACAAGCAGCTCCCAACCCGTCGGCTGCAGCCGCGCCTAAAGGAGCGCGTGCACGCAAGCAGCTGCGTGAGGGCACATGGTGTGGCAGCGCGCCCGGGACCTGCGGCCGCACCTGCATGATCCGATCCACCTCGAAGCGCCGCTCGCGCCCGCCGCCCCGCGGCGGCAACGGCGCGGGCGCTGGGAGAGCCTGAGACAGCCGCTGTCTGCAGCGTCCGCCACGATCGGCTTCTGCCTCACCACGGCCGCCTCCACGGCAATGCCGCTGTCTGAGGGGAGGGAAGGGAGGGAGGGTGGGAGGGAGGGAGGGAGAGGGAGGGAGGGGCTGATGCATGGGGAGGAGGGCCGGGTGATGCCGTGGCCAGCGCGCGCACGCTCGTGGACGGAGGCGTGGAGCGGACTCCACGGGGGAAGGTGTGGGTGGATTCTGGAGGGGGCAGATACGGGGGTGGGGTGGGGTGGGGCGGGGGGGGGGGGGGGGGGGGCTTCGAAAACGGCCCGGTTCCCACAGCACTGAGGGCAGTACCACTCCCCCTTGGGCACCTATTGCCACGTGCTTGCCTTTCCGCGCGTATCCCCTCCCCTCTCCTTGCCGCCCTCTCGCACCGCTAGGAGAGGCGGCCAGCAGCAGAGGGTGTGGCGGGCGGTGTCGCAGCCGTCGCAGAGCAGCATCCAGTTGCCCTCGACCCACTCGCCCTTGGCATTGAGGCCGGGCGCGTTCCACGCGCCCTTGCCACACACCTACGGTAAGGGAAGATAAGGTACACTTCTCGGGCTCAACGCGGGGCAGCGCGCCGACGACGTCGAATGCGCCGCCGTGGCATCGCGGCGCCGACGACCAGGCTCAGAGGATGACCCCGGGTAAGCGTTCCCGTGCCTCGACAATTGCCGCTGGTAGGCGCGCCGCGCCAAGCCATGGCGGGCGCGCCGCGGCCGCGGCACCCTTCGTCACAATGCCAACCACGCGCGGCCGTCGACCGGCAAGCACACGCCTCGACTCGGACACAGTGTTCCGAGGGCAAGGGAGAGGGGTAGGCTCCTAGCCCGAGAGGGGAGCTTCCGAGACCCACTACAAGACCACGCACACATCATCCCGCGGCCTGGCGGTCGGCGGGATTGCAATCAGTCTTCGCGTGCCGCCCCTGTCGTTCGATTCGGGCGCCTTGGGCGTCGGGGTGGCGAGCAGGGGACGCGGCTCTGAGCGCCCAGCGACGCGTGCCGGATGGAGTCCGGCCGCGGTAGGGAAGTTCGCTCAGGATGTGTGGCAGCCACGTTGGCTGAGTGTCTTGTCTTGTGGTTCTGTGTGTCGCTCCTGTGTGACCGTCATCGCCCGTCCTGCGTCCACCCATACCGCGTTGGTGTCCCAGTCGTTGGCCGGACTGTGTTTCGCCTTCCCACCAATCATCAATCGTACGTCGGATTGGTACGGCTTTTACCCGGAGCGGCGACGAGGGTCGGGGAGTGAGCCCGACACCCGGCTGTCCGACGACCCACAGGTGAAAATCCGGTGGACCGGCAGCGTCAGGCAAGCTTAAAGCCTAAACAGCCTAAACAGCGTCGAAAGCCTAAACAGCGTAGCTGCGGTTCAGCGGGGTCTCCAGAACGCTGTCGCAAATTCTCGTCCGCGTCTACGGGGTGTGAAATCCGGTCGAAAAGTCAGGAGGAAAATACTGCATGTCTTCCGGGAGGAGCTCTGTTCTGGAACATTGTCGATTTCGATCTGTGCGCATCCGTGTGCTTTCATCTCGTCCGCTGGGACGCGTTCTCGATGACGCTGGGGCGCGCGACGCGGCGCCCCGTCGCCCAGGCGTCAAAGGCCCTCTCTCGCTCCACGTGTTCCCCCGTTCTTAGCGTTTTTACGACAAATCCTTTTTAACGCGAGCTGTGCCACAGTGAAATGGCACTACCACTAGCCACTGCAAGCTTCTTGTATGAAGTATGTATCTTATCTCCTTAGATCAGTGTGATACATGGCACTCTTGCCAAACTCTATTATAAAACATGGCAGCAAGACAGCACATGCACCCACGGATTCCCCCCCCCCTCTCGCTGACAAACACGCTTCGCATGGATCTAACACGTCGTTTCGGCTCTCGCGCCGCCCGCGCCGCGCGCCGCCCTCTGCCTCCTCCCCACCGGCCCACCCACGAACCGCGCCCCCCACCAATCACCCGAGCAGCTGCTCCAGCTGCCGCCGCTCCTCCTCTAGCTGCCGCAGCCGCGCCCGGAGCGCCTCGGCCTCGACGCTGTTTTGGTGGAGCGCCGTTCGCAGCGCGTCGCGAGACCCTGCGGTGCCCGCCGCCGCCGCCGCTGCCGCGGCGCCGATGACAGCGGAGCGCGACGATCCCGCCGCCTGATCGCGGAACGGCGTGAGCGTGAGCAATGACAACGAACGCGGCGCAACGAGCGGACAAGAGAGCACGGAGGCGCACGGCCTGCTCGCGCGCCTTTGCCTGCGCGATCGCGGGGGCGCCGTCGCCGCCCTCCGAGTCCTCGCGGTCGCTCATCGGAGGCGTGCCAGCCGTGCCGTCGCGCGCGCGCGCCTGCTCGGTGCGGTCGCGCCGAGATGAGCCGAGAGGAGCCGAGAGGAGCCGAGAGGAGCCGAGAGGAGCCGAGAGGAGCCGAGAGGAGCCGAGAGGAGCCGAGAGGAGCCGAGATGAGCCGAGAGGAGCCGAGAGGAGCCGAGAGGAGCCGAGGGGAGCCGAGAGGAGCCGAGAGGAGCCGAGGGGAGCCGAGAGGAGCCGAGAGGAGCCGAGAGGAGCCGAGAGGAGCCGAGGGGAGCCGAGGGGAGCCGAGGGGAGCCGAGAGGAGCCGAGGGGAGCCGAGAGGAGCCGAGAGGGGCCGAGGTGAGCCGAGAGGAGCCGAGGGGAGCCGAGGTGAGCCGAGGTGAGCCGAGAGGAGCCGAGAGGAGCCGAGAGGAGCCGAGAGGGGCCGAGGTGAGCCGAGAGGAGCCGAGGGGAGCCGAGAGGAGCCGAGAGTAGCCGAGAGGAGCCGAGAGTAGCCGAGAGGAGCCGAGAGGAGCCGAGAGGGGCCGAGGTGAGCCGAGAGGAGCCGAGGTGAGCCGAGGTGAGCCGAGAGGGGCCGAGGTGAGCCGAGAGGAGCCGAGAGGAGCCGAGGGGAGCCGAGAGGAGCAGAGAGGAGCTGAGATTGGCCGAGAGGAGCTGAGATTGGCCGAGATGGGCCGAGATATGACGAGCCTGCTTTGTGTGGTGGTGCCGCCGGAAGCCACCCCAGGTCGCCAGCCGCTTGTACTGCGTCGACCGCTCCGGCCCCTCGCCCCCCGCCAGCGAGCCGGTGCCGCAGTCGGTGTTGTAGTAGTCGACGGCAGAGTCGTCCACCTGGTTCGGTCAATCTCAGTCGTCGGTTGGTAGATTTCGGTACGGGAGGAGGAGGAGTGCGTCGTCCAACTCACTCAGCGGAGTGGGTGATGAGCTAGAGCTGGCTCTGCTCACGGAGCACTGCGGGGAGCACTGCGGGTTGAGTCGGCTCGCGCGGACTCATCCGTTGTCTCACCGCTATCTCGGCTGCCTCTCGGCTGCCTCTCGGCTGCCTCTCGGCTGCCTCTCGGCTGCCTCTCGGCTGCCTCTCGGCTGCCTCTCGGCTGCCTCTCGGCTGCCTCTCGGCTGTGCCTCTCGGCTGTGCCTCTCGGCTGTGCCTCTCGGCTGTGCCTCTCGGCTGTGCCTCTCGGCTGTGCCTCTCGGCTGTGCCTCTCGGCTGTGCCTCTCGGCTGTGCCTCTCGGCATCTCAAGAGTCGTTTTCACCGTCTTGACCAGCCGCTGCTGCTCGGGCGAGGAGTCCATCGCGCCGCCGCCGCCGCCGCCGCCGAGCTGGGACAGGTATTGCATCGCCGCGTCCTTGGACACGAGGGACTGCACCACGGCCTCGGTGTGCTGGAGCGCCTCGCGCTGCTCCCCAAACGCACGACGCGAGTCCTCGCCCGCCATCGGCTCCCACCCCGCGAGCTCGCCCGGCTGCCGTCCCGGCGGCAGGTGCTCCGTGCCCGACGGCAGCAGAGCGCACGTGCAGCCCGCCTCCGACACCCACGCACCCGACCCCGCGCCGGCGGCACCGCCGCCCGAGGAGGAGGAGGAGGACGACGACGACGCGGCGGCGCCGCCGCCGCCGCTGTTGCTACGCGCGCCGCGGCGGCTGGCTGCGCGCCCGCCCGCGCCGCCTGCGCGGCCGGAGCAGCGGCGCGGCTGCTGCGCGCAGCGGGCATGCGCCGCGGGCGACGCGCCGATCGCGAATGTCGCGCCGCCGGCGGGCACCGCGCCGCTGCAGACGGGCTGCGGCGGCGGCGGCCAGTGCGACGACGCGGCCGCAAACTCGAGCAGCGCCGCCGCCTCGCACGCGTTTGTGTTCGCGCCGCCGCCGCCCGACGCAGCGGAGACGGCGCAGGCCGCCATGCCGGGAATGAGCCCGCCGCTGCACGCCGCCGGCTGCTCCGCCGCCACCGGACGGTACTTTGGGGCCCACGCCGCCGAGCACGGGAAGCGCGGCGGCGGAGCCGGAGGCGGCGGCATCGACTCAACGCGGGGAGCGGCGTGAGGGAAGGGGCACGCCGCCGCCGCCGCCGGCGGCGCCGACGCTGCGGCGGCGGCGGAGGCGACGGCGGCGGCGAGCGAGGGTGGCACGGCGGAAGAGTCGACCTGAGCGGCGCTCCGGCCTCGCAAGTCGCGGCACTCGCGCAGGCTCGCCGCAGCATGCGGCGGCAGCGCGGCGAGCAGCGCGGTGACTGCGGCGCCCTTTCCACACATCACGAGAGCGTGGAGCACCGTCAGGCCGCCGCTCGACCGGGCGCACGCCACCAGCGGCAGGGGCAAGGCGCCGCCGGCGTGCTGCGTAAGCACCTCCACAAGACGGTCAATCAGCGCGCACAAGCCGTGCCTCGCCGCCCAAGCGAGCATCTCGACCACGGCCGCCGCGATCTGCGGCGGAGCGTCGGCGGGCAGCGCCGGCCCGCGCGCGAGGTGGCCCTGGTACTGCTGCAGCAGCACGCCCATCGCATTCTCCTTTTCGGCGCCAGCCTGGCCGAGCCAGCCCTGGAGCCGCTGGAGCAGCGGCACGGGAAGCGGAGAGGGGAGCGGCTTGGTGAACTTTGCCGTCGCGATGAGGAGCAGCGCCAGCGCAGTGTCGCGCTTCTCCGCCTCGACCGCCAGCTCGAGTGCCGTGCGGCCGGTCGCGTCCCGCTGGTGCAGGTCGGCGCCCGAGAGGGCGTGCTTGACGGCCTCGGAGAGGTGGCCACGCATCGCCGCGAGCATGAGAGGTGTGCGCTCTGCGCGCGCCTCGGAGGAGGAAGAGGAGGCGTCCATACGGCGGACGGGCGACTCGCCAGTGTGAGATTGGGCCGCACAGCGCGTCCGACCAGAGGTGCCAGCACAAAAAAAGTAAAATAATCATACCCCGCCGGCAGCGCGAGCTGCCGGCCACATTGAGCGGTTCGTCCGCGTCGCGCACTCGTCCCAACCGGGGGCCGCAGACTGGTTCTGCGCGCCAACGGCTGGTGACGCTGTGTTGCCCTTGAGCTAGTCCTTCCCCGGTCGCCTAGCCTCTGCGCTGTCTGGCGAACGCCTGTATGCCATGCACGCGGACCACGCTTGCGTGGATACGTGGCTGGCAGGCAGACCCGTGTGCGGGGTAACCCGCGCACGGGGAAGCTTCACGGGTTCGAGTCGCCAAACATTAAGCAGCGGAGGTGTGCCGAGGGGGACCGGGAGGCGGTAAGCCGTCGTCGCCCGGCGCTGCATGCAGCACCGTGGCGATGGCGCAAAGAGGTTCCTCTTTTACGCGCCCCCCCCCGCAAGGCGCGCGATACACAAAAGATGCAGGGCTGCCAACTGCACTCCAAGTGCTACATACATACATAAGTGCTCCAAGTGCGGGGCTAGGGCTCTCTTGCCCGCAACCCGATACCGATCATCCGGCCCGCTGGGTGCGCTTCTTAGCTCCCCGGCCCTGGATGTGAGGTTGATGACTGCACTCCAAGTGCTCCAAAGTGCCTCCAAGTTGGCAAGGTTTCTATGTGGGTGGTGGTCGGCGACTAGCCGGCGTAGTCGCCTTTTCTTTATTATCAACTCACCCCTTCCTCCAGATGCCTCCCGGCCTGCGCCAGCGCCCGGCCCGCCTGCTCCATCGCCCCGCCCGCGCCCTGCAGGCGCGCCCCCGCCTCAGCGTGCGCGGCCGTCACACCTCCTGCGAGGCCGCCGCCGTGCGCCGCGACGGCGCTACCGGCAGCCGCGAGGTGACCGCCCGCCGCGTCCAAGTTTGGCCCCGCGGCGGCGGCCAGCATGATGCATCCGGTGACTGACGACGCGTCCTCGAGCTCGTCGGCGGCACACTACTGGGCGAGCGGAGCGGGAGGTCAAGAGGATGATCTCGCTGGCGGGGTGGTGGAAGGTTTGCGGTCTCGCGTCGCGGTTTGCCTGCAGCGCGTCGCCGTCATCCAAGAAGCCGTCCACAGCGGCTGCGGCGGTGGAGAGGCAGGCTGCCGCGGCGGCGAGCGGCGCCGTGGCCGACTCCCACTCCCGCGCTACGCACACCTCGTGCGCAAAGAGCTCCAGCTCGCGCGCCGCGTTACCGAGCGCGCAGCCGCAAGCCGAGAGCCGGCCAGGCTCCTCCTCCTGTCGCTGGTTCTCGCCGAGGACGGCGGCGGCGGCGACCATTGAGTCGGAGGCGGAGAGGAGCAGCTCCGTCGCGAGACCGAGCGGCGGCGGCGGGGAGGAGGCGAGCATCAGGCTGAGGCCGGCGCGGAGAAGCATTGTGTGTGCTGCAGCGAGGGAGCCTGCGGCGCGAAGAGCCCCGCGAGCGCGGATTTGGACGAGGTTCCGTCTGACCGACGGGCGGGCGGCAGCTTTGGTTTCTTTTCCTAAAATGCTTTTCCTTCCTTTGGCGGGGGTGGGCGGGTGCACGGAGCTAACGCCCCCCACAGCAAATCGGTTTTTGCCCTTAAATAGTGCGATTTCCCACCGATACCAAGCGAAAAATCGTTCACCAAAAATCGCACTATTCTCGACGCGCGTCGAGATCCAAAACTCGACGCAGCCAACTCCCAAGCCAAATCTGGCCGGGAGCCCGATTCCTACCAACCGTCGGCTTTCGACAGAGGCCTCGACCGCCCCTCGCGGCAAGCTCTCGAGCAGCTCGAGAAGCTCGCCCGCCGCCACCGCCGCGTCGAACTGCGTCCTCATGCCGAGCGCGCCGCATACCCTGCGGACCGCCTCTTGCTGCACCTCGTCTGCTGTGAGAGAGAGTAATTTGTTTAAATTCTTTCTTCACACCTGTGTTAGTGCCAGTGCGCGCCAGTCCCGTGCCCAGTGTTGTGCGAGGGAGTTTTGTTGTAAAATTCTTTCTTCAGTTTTGTTGTAAGATTCTTTCTCGGTTGTTCAAATTCTTTCTTCAAAACGTGCGTCCCGCGGCCTCGATGAGCTGCTGCGCCTCGTCCGCGGACAACACGTTTGCCACCGAGTAGATCTTCATCTTAGGGCACAGGTCCGTGACAACCAGCTCGGCCATTTCGATCAAAATGGCGCTTGCACGCCCGCGGGCTCACAGCGGTGCCTACACTGGCAGAGTAGACTCGTCCTGTGGGTCAAAACGGACCGCGGACCTTGAATTTCGGCGGACGCCGAAATTCATCACACCCACAGGACGCCGAATACAAGACAATGCTACGCGCGGTCTTCCGCGGGGGGAGCTGCGTCGACGGGTGCGGGACCGCGGCGCAGCCAGTGCCGCGGCGAGGCCTCCGGCTGTTTGCGGCGGGCGGTTTGCTGCTCGCTGCGATGGCGAAAAACTCGTCTCGCCACACGCCAAGGGCTTATGCTCTGGCGAGACGTGAGGCGCATGCGCCCAGGAGGGGAGGGGGCATGTGTAACGACACTGCTAGAGATGCCTTTCGGGGCCCAGAGATAAAACTTCTGTGATGCCATGCGTGACCTAGTAGTGTCCCCAGCTATGGGCGTGTCCACGTTGGAGCCAGGTGTGGTGTGGGCGCGAGAATAGCTCCGCCGTTCATGGAGGCAACCGATGCGAGTCGACTGGTGTGTGTCGTCGTGGTTTCGTATCAAGAATACTCACTCACAGGAAGGGAGTGTACTCAGGCAGTCAGGGACGGATGAGTCAGAAATACTAAGAGCACCTAAAGGAGCAAGGCATAGCTGTGAAGTGGTTTCCACTGACAGACCCCCTCGTGCCTTGGCCTGAAGGTGCCCATCCGATACTCGGGGAAGCGACAGGTCATAGTGCAAACAAAGGAGAGATGCACTTGCTCGCGTTATCAGTTCTGTAAGTACGGTCTGTAGGCTCCTTGGAGGCGGAGCAAGCCTCGGCATGTTACATGAAGCGCCCTTGCCAAAGGAACGCAACACTGGGAGTGAGGAGCACGCCCAGCCCTCGTCTCTTGTGACATTGCCAGGGACCCAAAATTTAAGAACGGCTCGAAGTCGAAATCCCTATCGTTGGACAGGGGTACAACGAAATTGAGCGGCTGGGAATCTGGATGCCAAAGGTACAGCAATCAATGCAGCGGAAAGAGATTACATCTTTTTCCAGAGCGTCCCGTTGACACGCTGTCGTGTCGCGTGCTTCGCACGCGGGTTGACCATTGCGGCATCGCCGAGTTCTTCGTGCGGCTTGCCGTTTGGCGCCTTCTTGCCCGCCTCCACCGCCTGGCAGGCAACATCGAGCGGGAGGCCGAGGCGGCGCTGAACTGTAATGCGCATCGCCCACGTCTCCATCTTCATATCATCCCGCATGGGGATCGCATTCAGGAAGGCGCCAGCCCCCTCTCCTGGTTTTACCTGCGAAAAAAGAATTTCACAAAGCAAGCACTGATGAATGAGAATGTCTTCCCATCCCTCCCTTGGGATTTCTGTTTTCTTTCTTTCTTTGACCTCGGAGACCGCTCAAGTCAAAACGTCAGAGAACGTGTGTGCACTGGTTGCGCTCGGGTCCGGGAAGGCGTCCACCACCTCGACGCCCCTCGTCACCGGCGCTGGTGATCGCGGGGCGCCGCCGCCGCCGCCGAGCTGCGAGGCAGGAGCGCCGCCGCCCGAGTCACGGCCCGCCGACCAGTCGTCGGTGATGTCAGAGAGTGCGGCCTCCACCGCCGCGCGCCGCATTCGCAGCAGCTGCGCGTCGCCGCCGCTCGAGCTGCCACCGTCGCTTAGGATTGGCGCGCATCGTTCCGAGAGGACGAGGGCGAGCGCGGAGATGAGCGCAGCTGCGGCGAGGTAGTACCCCGCGCCGGCGGCGCCGACAGACGTCGCGGTGAGCGCTGTGTTGATCAGCGGCGTCGTGCCGCCGAGGAGGGCCGCGCCCACGTTGTACGCGACGCCGAGAGAGGAGTAGCGCGATCCCGTCTGCTTGAGCGAGAGCACAAACCACGCTTGCAGTGGGCCGACGTGGCAGCCGTGGGCAATGACGCCGAGGCAGAGGATCGGGATGAAGACTTCAGGCGGGTAGTACCCAACGCAGAGGAGCTCCTCATCCTCGCCGCCGCTAACGCCGGCGCCACCGCCGCCGCCGCCGCCGCTGCTGCTGTTGCCACTGTTGCTGAGATTGCTACGGCTGCTTCCGAGGACGGCAAGGCTGCGGCTGATGCCGCTGCTGCCGCCGCCGCCGCTGCTGTTGTTGCTGCTGCTGATGCTGCTGCTGCTGATGTTGATTCCCGTCAGGTTGTTCGCCGCCAACGTCACTGCGCTGTCTACGCTCTGGCACTCGGCATTGAGCGCAATGAAGAGGAAGGGCGCGATGACGGCCACCGCGAGAGCGCCAAGCACGGAGACGAGAGGGATGCCGTGGAGCGCCAAGCACGGCCGGCCGCTCCCGCTGCAACGCGTGCAGCAGCGTGTTGGCGGCGTCCTGTCTGCGAGCATGCCGCCTCCGACGACGACACACGCCCAGAGCAGCATCACCGCCACGTTGAGAGCGAAGGCCGCGTCGAAGAGGCGCGTGTGCCGCAGCCATGATGGAATGAAGACAAAGAAGCCGTAGAAGCCGACCATGCCGAGCGGCGATGCGCAGACGATGCGCAGCACCGAGCGCCAGGAGCTGCGCATCGTCTTTGCGAGCGGCAGCGACGCGAGCCACGCGCAACAGCCAACGCGGCGTGGCGTGCTCGCCGCGGCGGCCGCCTTGGCTTCGAGGAACGGCGCCGTCGGCTTGAAGTTCCGCCTGAGGAAGCAGGCCACGACCGCAATCCCCGCGCCCAAGACAAACGGCACGCGCCAGCCCCATTCGCGCACGGCCGTGTCGCCGAGTATCCAGTGAAGGATGGCCGCAACGAGGCTCGCGAGCAGGGAGCCGACGCCAGTCGCTTGGCAAAGGGCGCCCATCATCGCGCGATGGCGCGGGCCCGCCGACTCGACCGCGTAGACGAGTGCGCCCGGCAGCTCGCCGCCCGCAGCGAGGCCCTGCAGCATCCGCATGAGCGCGAGGAGCAGCGGCGACGCGATGCCGATCTCGGTGTACGTGGGCAGCAAGCCGATGACGAGCGTCGGCGTCGCCATGAGCATGATGGTGAAGAGCAGCGCGACCTCGCGCCCGAGCGTGTCGCCAATGTGCCCGAAGAAGATGCCGCCGAGCGGCCGGATGAAGAAGGCGCCCGCGAAGATTGAATAGGTCTTGATGAGCGCGGTCGTCGGGCTGTCCTCGGGTGGGAAGAACGCGTTGCCAATGTCGGACGCGAATATTCCATACACTGCAAAATCGTACCACTCGAGGAAATTGCCCGCCGCGGCGACGAGCACTTGGCGGAAGAGCGCAGGGTCTAAATTGCTGCTTCCACTGCTTCCGCTGCTTCCGCTGCCGCCGCTGCTGCCGACGCCAACACCGACGCCCGCGCTTCTGCTGCTGCCACCTCGCACAACCGTTGTGGTCGGCATCAGTGTGTAGGGCGTGGAGTTAAATTCGGAGGACGACGTCGTGGCTGTGAACACGCGCTGCGACGTGCGCTGCGCGGGCGGGAGGCATTCCAAAAAGAATTCTTCAGATTCAAGCCTCTCTCACAGCACACTGGCACGACAAGGGCGCAGACTGGCGCGGACTGGCACACACACAGGCTCACCACCGGAGCCGCCTAAGCGACTCCGTTAAGAACGGCAATGCACTCCGCACCATGCACAATGCCGCTCTCCCCGCACGCTAGCTCGTTCACCGTCTGCCACGCCACGGCGGTGTGGAGGACGACAGACAAGCGCTGCATCTGCAGCCCGTGCCAGTTCTTGGTGGTCCATGTGAAAAAAGAATCTCGCACACGCACCCTCGCACAACACTGGGCACGGGACTGGCGCGCACTGGCACTAACACAGGTAACACAGTTAGTGCGAACCGCGAAAACGCAACGCGGATGGGCAATCTGCATCGGCAGGGAATGGCATCTGATTCGATTTTCCTGCTAACGTTGCAAAAGAATTTTGCAACACAAATGACGTCGCGGGCCACCTCGCCAACGCGTACTGACGTAGGAAGGTAGGTTGAGCCACTGACTGCGCACTGGCGGTGGCGCCATCTATCTCCATCCATCCATGGAGTTTGGAGCTTGATTGACAAAAAAGAATTTAGAATGCAAAAAACTCGCGGCACAAGCACGGGAGTCGGGGCTGGCGCACTTACAGTGGGGTATGTATCCGCTCAGACGATCTGGCGGGCCTGCGTCGCTGACGCTTCCACAAGGTCGTCGCCATTCGACGGCTTCGTCTTTGTCAAGGAGCCGCGGATCGTTAGAGCGAGGGCGGTGACGCGATGCACGCGCGACTGGGCTGTCTGCTTGGTCGCGCCGAGCGCCTTTGCGAGCAGGGCGAGCGACACCTGTCGGTGCGGGCCCGCGTGGCAGCCGATGGCGAGGTCGTGGTACAGCCCATTGGCAATAAGGTCGCGCGGCGTTACCTCGAAAAAGTGCCCAAAGATGCAGCCGTTGCGGACGGCGTCATTCTCGTGCGCCATTACGATCGGCAGCTTGGCGCGGCGCGCGGCGCGCACCTGCTCTGCGAGCGCCTCGGCGCCATCGCCGGCCCACGTCAACCTGTTCAGGTAGAGCAGCATGTGCGTCGCCTCGCCGCCGCCTTCTCTTCTCGCGCGTCGAGATAGCGAAGGGAGGAGCGAGGAGAGGCGCGAGGAGCGCGAGGAGCGAGGCAGCGCGGATAGGCGCGAGGGCGCTGCGTCGGTGATCGAGATGCCGCCAGCCACGGCCGCCGCGACCGAATTGGCGAGCTCTCGCGCCCCGGCGTTCAACGTCGAGGCCCAGAGAATCACCGGCTTGGGGAAGGCGAGGCCGTCGGCTCGGATCTCGCCCGGGATGCACAGGGGCAGCTCGTCCTCGCCCGCGTACTTTGGCGTCTTCAGCAGTAGCGCCTCGGCGATGACCTTGAGCGAGACGTGCTGGAAGGCCTCGATCCGATGCCACACCGCCATCGGCCAGCCGGCCTCAAAGATGGCGGCCTGCAGCTCCTCGGGGCACTCGGACCGCAGCTCGGCGAGCGTGCCTCCGCCCTTGTCCGGGTCTGCCTCGTGGACGAGCACGAGCGGCTTGCCCATCTCCAGCGCGGCGCGGACCTCTCGCAGGCAGTTCGTCGAGCGCAGGTAGCCCCGCGACAGGAAGCAGAGCACCACCTGCGAGCGACGAATGTACGCCTCCAGCTCTCCGATGTTTTTGAGGTCGTCGATGTCGAGGAAGATCTCGCAGCCGGGCAGGAGCTGCTGGAGCTCGTTCTTGATGACGGCGACGGCGTCCTACACACAAGGAAAGGCAGGTGAGGTGCCTTCACCACACACGCAAAGCGGTGGGGCAAGAGGCGGCAAACCTGCCCCGTGCTCCAGACGTGGCTGAGGAAGAGGTGCCACTCCTGGCCGTCGGCGAGGGTGATGCCGTCGCGCATCGGCTCGCGCTTCGACGAGACGAGCCGCATGGTCTTCACCCTCGCGGCGCTGACCGCCGATATGAGGATGACGGCTAGCGAGACGGCGAGCATGACTGCGGTGAGGGCGACGGCAAAGGTGGTGGCGCCGCGCGAGGTCTTGTAGCCAACGAGTTCGTAGCACATGTCTTCGTGCACGGTGCTGTCGCAGAGCTGCGGTGGCGGGGGGCGGGTGGTGTGAGGTTGCGGAAGTCAAGAGGGAGCGTGGGGGAGCGCGAGGGAGCGCGAGGAATTGCCATCGCGGACCTGGATGACCACTCCCGACGCGAAGCAGCAGGTAAGCAGCAAGTTGGCGATGCACGCGAGGCAGAGGTCGTCGAAGCGCCGGTAGGGGCGGGCGAGCGCGAGAATGGTGAGAAACATGGCCGAGACGATGGCGGCGACCACGGTGCGCAGCAACTTCCTCGCGCCGTACTCGTGGTCGATGAAGAGCACCATCGAGGTGAGGAAGATCTTGCGGAACAGGTCGAACACCTCCCAGAAGAGGAAGCGGGCAGAGTAGTCCCGCCAGAGGAAGCTCGTCGCACGAGAGAGCGGCGTTGCGCGCTGCGCAGCCACGGGCTTGCGGACGCGGAGCAGCAGCGCCAGGAAGCCGAGCGGCACGAGGACGGGCCAGAGAGCGAAGTAGGCCCAAAAGTACGGCGCGAGTCCCCTCACAGTCTCGTCTTCCCACGTCGGGCCGGCATCGCACGTGAGCGCCAGGTCGGCAAGCAGGTAGCTGATGCGCTGGCCTGTCGCGTCGTCGTAGCGAAAGGACTCGCACAGCCTCGCACTGAAGATGGAGCGCGAGACGGAGGGCAGCGCGAGGTAGAAGATGAAGATCGCCCAGTAAAGGAGGCGGCCGAGCAGCTGGCGGTCGAAAGCCTGCTTCTGCTTGACATTGAGGACCGCCGCCACCGCCACAATGGCGAGCGACACGAAGGCGACGGCGAGGTACGGCCAGGTGCCCGCGACGAGCAGCCGCGTGCTCATGGCTCCGATGCAGGGGCCGGGGATGGCAACGTCAAACAGGTCCAGGCTGAACAGCTTGAGCACGTCGAGCCAGCGCGTAAAGCGCCCGTGGAGGCGGACGCCGTAGACGAGGCCGAGGGCGCTGCTCACCTGGTAGAAGCTGACGAAGACCTTGAACTTGGGCTGCAGGCCGACCGCGGACTCGATGCGGGTGGCCCGCCTCCGGAGGCGGCGGGAGAAGGGGAGGTGGCGGAGCCGAGCGTAGCTGGCAGCGAGCGCTGCGATGACGATGGCAAAGATGGCAAGAACGCCGGCGGAGCGAGCCGTCGAGGGGCAGGCGACGCAGCGCCCCTCGGCTGAGCTGAAGTAGTCCGAGTCCGCGACGCAGACCTCGCAGAGCGGGCCGGTGTGGCCGGCGGTGCAGTAGGGGTCGTCATCTCCGTCGGTGAGGCGGCGGCCGTGGGAGGGCTGGCCGGAGCCACCAGCACATGTCTCTGAGTCACAGCGGTGGAGCTCCGAGGTGGCGTTGGAGGCGCGCCAGTAGCCGGCGCCCACGCCGAGGGACGCGAGAGCGGTGCCGGCGCTGCAGTTGGCGTTGGGCGGGCACGGCCTGCAGTGCTCGGTCGGGTTCTCAAAGATGTCGTCTGGATCGGCGCTCGAGTCCTTCAAGTAGAAGCCCTCCTTGCAGATGGAGCAGGTGACGTCGCCGCTCTTGGAGCTGAGGGGGTGGGGGCAGAGAGTGCACTGCGAGAGGCCCCCGCTCGCCGCGTAGCTGCCCGCCTCGCACTCCTCACACGCGGTGGTGGAGGCTGCGTAATTGCCTTTGGGGCACGGCTTGCACGCGGACATGTTGGCCGAGGGGGCGATGCTACCCGGAGCGCACGGCGCGCACGTGTCGCTGCTTTCCGCACCCTGTGTTGCGCTCGCGGTGCCGGCGGGACAGAGCTCGCACGCGGCGCTCGAGCTGGAACCGTTGGCCGGGTTGAAGCTGCCCGCGGGACAGGGCTCCCAGACCATGCGTGTGGCGGCGCCAGCCTCCTCGCAGTAGCCTCCGCGCGGGCAAGGGTCGCAGGCGGAGAGGCCGACGTCGGGAGAGAAGGAGCCGGCGGGGCAGATGAGGCATTGCGCTTGGGCTGAGAGGGGCTGGTGCTGGCCGGGGGCGCAACGGAGGCAAAATTCCTGGCTGGGCGCCCCGATGACTGGCGAGTGTCGACCGGGAGGGCAGGGCTGAGGGTCGGCGGTACCCTTTTCGCAATAGTGGCCCCTGGTGCACTGGCCGCTGCAAGAGGAAGTGGTGAGGCCGCTCGTGTTCCCAAAGTAGCCAGCGGGGCAAAGGTAGCACTCGGGAGCGTTGACGTCGCCCTTCAAGGCGCCCTCGGTCGGCATCCAGCTGCCCAAGCGGCAGTCCCAGTCTATCGGCGAGTCGGTCTGGATCGTGACACCGTCGTTGCCGGTGAAGGAGGCGTCGCTGATGGAAGAGCGTTGAGTGAGGACTGACAGGTACAGCACCGAGCCTGACCTAGCCGCTCCGTTGTTGATGAAGTCGACACCCGCGATGGAGAGGGACTCGCTCTTATCCGCGTAGACGACGCCGCCCCACTGCGGGTGCGAGGAGAGCGGGGTGGCAGCCGCTCTCTCCATCTCTCGCCCCGCTGCCGTGCTGTGCTGCAGGGCGGCCACTGGCTCTATGCGGCGCACCTGGCCAGCCGAGCAGCCGCTCACGGTGGAGTCCAGTATCGAGACCGCCCCGCTGCCATGCGCCCAGACGACGCCGCCGTTCTGCGGTTGCGAGGAGAGAGCGGGGTGAGGCAGCCGCTCTCTCCATCTCTCGCCCCGCTGCTGTGTGGCGCTGCAGGAAAGTGCGGCTAGCTCTAAGCGGCGCACCCCTTCCTGGCTTAGGCCAGTAGCCGAGCAGCCCGACATGTTCGAGCTGCTTATCGAGACCGCACCGCTGTTCCACGCGTAGACGACGCCGCCGTACTGCGGTTGCGAGGAGAGAGCGCGGTGAGGCAGCCGTCGCTCTGTCCATCTCTCGCCCCGCTGTCGTGCGGCGCTGCAGGCTGCTAGCTCTACGCGGCGCACATTGCCAGCAGAGCAGCCCGACACGTTCGAGCTGGTTATCGAGACCGCACCGCTGTTCCGATACGCGTAGACGACGACGCCGTTCTGCGGTTGCGAGGAGAGAGCGGGGTGAGGCAGCCGTGGCCCTCTCTACTTCTCACCCCGCTGCCGTGCGGCGCTGCAGGGAGGGCGGCTAGCTCTACGCGGCGCACGAAGTAAGCATAGCAGCCAGTCACGGTGGAGCCACTTATCGAGACCGCACCGCTGTTCCTCGCGAAGACGACGCCGCCGTGCTGCGGTTGCGAGGAGAGAGCGCGGTGAGGCAGCCGTCGCTCTGTCCATCTCTCGCCACGCTGTCGTGCGGCGCTGCAGGGGTGCGGCTAGCTCTACGCGGCGCACAAAAGCAGAGCAGCCTCTGACCGTCGAGCCGATTATCGAGACCGCACCGCTGTTATACGCGTAGACGACGCCGCCCCCGGCCTGCGGTTGCGAGGAGAGAAGCAGGGTGAGGCAGCCGTGGCCCGCTCTCGCCGGCCCCGCTTTGTGCGGCGCTGCAGGGGGGTGCGGCTAGCTCTACGCGGCGCACCTCGTCAGCCGAGCAGTCCCGCACGGTCGACTCGATGATCTCGACGTCGCCTGCGCCCCACGCGTACACAACGCTGCCGTGGCCCGCCGTCCTCCCGTTGACGAGGGTCAGCCCCCGCAGGGTGAGGCTGCAGTGGCCCGTGAGGGAAAAGAGCCCGGTCTCTCCCTGGCCGTCGAGCGTCGCGCCCTCGCCGCTGCTCGCGACCGTCACCTTGATGTTGGATTCGCAGCTGATCTGGCTGCCCAGCTCGAAGTGCGCACTGGGCGGCAGGAAAATTGAGATGTTGGAAACAGCCCCCTCGATCAGGGAGCGGAGATCGTTCTCGGTTGCCGCGGCGACATGGAAGCCGGGGAAGACCGGCGGAGCAGGCGGTGACAGCGGCGGCAGCGGTGACAGCGGCGGAGCGAGAGGCGGTGATGGCGGTGATGGCGGTGATGACGGTGGTGGCGGTGGCGGCGGTGAAGGCGGCGGGTCGCCCAGCAGATCTGACGGCAGAGGGAGGATAGGCATCAGAGAGGAGAAAGAAGGGGAGCGAGAGGGACCAGGGGCGCGCCTTCCAGCCCGAACGGACGTGGATGCCATCCGATTCCCACTCGATGACGCCGCCCTCCGCCACCGCGCCATCCGGCCCCGACTTGCCGCAGTACTTTACGCCGTTGACGGTAAGATAGTCGTAGCGGCAATTGTTGCCCTCCACATCAAAGGCGACCATCTCCAGCTCGACCGGCGGCACGCCGCTAATGGTGCACTTCTCGTTGCTGCCGTAGCTGTTCGGGTAGTTTGGCGAAGCGGCGCACGAGCCGCCGTCGGTGAGCGAGCACGGGCTGCTGACGTTGACGGTCTGGAGCGGTGCCGCTGGTGTGCCGCATACGTCCTGCAGGAAGATGAGCACAATGCCAACTCGGAGAGCACGCGCGCTGGAGAGCAAGGGTACGGAGATCGCTGCGTGGCTGCATCCATCCACCCTCTTCTTCCTCACCTGCTGCCCACGCAGCAGCAGCCCACTGCACGCCGCGAGCAGCGCCAGTACGGCCGCACAAGGGTGAAGAACGAGCAGCTCCTCGATCTCTGAATGGGCCGCGATTGTGAAGCTCTCCTCGGGTGAGGGGCCGCTGATCTTGGTTGCGCGGGAAGGCTCGTCAAAGGAGGTGAACTCGGCGTCGGCCGCGGCGCCGATGTGCTTGAGGGTCGTCGGGCCGGCGGTGCATGAGGCGGCGCCGGTGGGCTTGGAGAACTTGGTGGGAAAGGAGAAGTTTTGATGGAAGGTGGCGTCCGGCCAGGCACCGAACAGCGCCGCGCCCTCCCAGGTGAGGTCGTCGACGAGCTCCGCGGCCTTGTTGGGTTCGCACGAGGCGGACGCCGCGAGGGCGAGCGCCGGCGCGTCGGTCGGGCGCTTGACGCAGAAGTCGGTGCGGTTGTGCGTGACGATGAGTGCCTCCCCGTCCCACGTAGGCGGGCGAGTGGCGGCTGAGGGCGTCGCGAGAAAAGCGAGGACGAGCATGCCGGCGATCAGCAATGCCGGCGGAGAGAATCAAAACCACTTGGCGGCCCCTATCATTTTTTTTCGCTCGCAACGGCCATGTTTGTTTCTCTTGGCACCTGGGAGTGCTGGGGGGGGCGATAGGGAGAATGTGGCCCTGAGTTATGTGTACGCCAACTCAGGGTGTGTGGCAGCCAGCTGGTTGTGTGTCTTGTGAGCCTGTTTGTGTCTTTGTGTCGCTCGTGCGTGTCGTCATCATCTGTCTCGCGTCCACCCATACCGCGTTGGTGTCCAGTCCGAGCCTGACTGTTGTTCATCTTTCTACATACATACATACGGCCATGGCCTCTGGCGCAGCGATAGTACTGCGCACTGCTGGGCCTCGCCCAGATTGAAGGGAAGGCACTGGCGCTTCTCGCCAGCCAGACTGACTCGGCCACTGGCGAGCGGGCCGACTGCACGCCCCGATCCCACCACCCGTCGGGTGCCGCCTGTGCTACCTTGTTGATCGCCGTCCCCGTCTGCGCTCGTGCTACTCTGAGGAACCATCTGGCCTGCTCCCTATTCCCCAGGCAGGCGCCGCTAAGCACGTGCGCCATTGTCGCTCTAGGCGGGTTCTCATCTTCCTCGGTCCAATGCTGCGCGGCTTTCCGCACGATCGGACACCGCGGGTCCCGCTTTAGCGCTGCCCTCCTCGCCGCGTCCCTCGCGGCCTTACAGACGAGGCAGCCCCTGAGTTCGCTCCTTGTGGCGGCGCCCGGGGTCTCTCTCCCCGCCTCTCCCCGCATAATCCTCTCGTGGTGCGTTCCGTGTGGCACCCCCGCCTGCCGACGCACCCGCGCTCTCCCATGACGGTCTTTGTCACCACGTTATGATCATCCACATCGGCGAATTCAATCTCGCGCTCGCCGTGTTGATCCTTGATCCGCTGGCGCTTGTCCCATTTGTGTCTCGTCGTTCCCCTGACCACATCGCTCCACAGCGGCCCCGTCACCCCTGCCGTGTGCGATCCCGCCGTGAGTCCCTCGCCGAGCCGTCCTCGCACCCACTCGTTCGTGTGGCCGCGTGTGGCGTATTAGGTCCTCCGGTCCAGTACCTCCCGCCCCCCCTCTCTGTCTGCCGTCCTCCGGCGGTCCGTGTACAGGCACGGGCGTGTCCTTACTGCTTCACGGATGACGGCGGTGGCATCCTCAATCTCGCTGGCCCCCATGTATGCCGTCGCCGCGGCGTCGGCGTCGGCGTTGCCCTCGACGGGTCTCCCGAATCGGGCCGGCCCTTCGTACACAACTGGTCGAGGCAAGAACCTATCCCCCACCCACTTGTTTGGCATGTCTCGACGGTGAGGGAGTGCGGTGAGGCGGAGCAGTCGCGCAGGGCGAGACGAGGGAGGGAGCAGGACGTTGCGGAGATCAGCAGGAGGATGTACGAAGAGATTAGGAGCAGCAGGGACCCGAGGGACCATGTGGAAGACGGCTAGTGCTAGTCCCCCATCGGGAGGACGACCCCGGCTAGTCGCGCCGACCACACCCACAAAGAACCCTGCACAAAGACCGCAGGGCGGGGACCTGTTCCTTTTTACCCATCTCCTAGTAGAGGTGTCCGTTTTATTTATTTATTTATTGGCATGTCTCTTGTCTGCTGCGCTGGTTGCGGTGTTTTCTCTTTATTTCTGTCGGGAAATTGCAGAAAAGAAGTTTGTTATGGCCGAGGCCGCTACACCTCTCATCTTTTCTCGTGTGGCCTCGCTGGCACACACACCCGCATCCCTCCTTCTCTCCCAATACCGGCGCCGGCGCCGGCGCCGTCGAACCTGAACCTGTCTCCGAGCAGAGCTGCAGCCGCCGCCGACGCGGCTGGGACAGCCGCCCCCTCCCGCCCTTCCTCCTCCTCCCCCTCCTGCTCCCCCCCCTCCTCCTCCGGCCTCTGGCGCACGCGGCGCGTCGCGTGGTCGACGACCTGGAGAGAGAAAAGGGCGAGACACTCGGCCGATGGTTGATGAGCCGAGATCGGCCGAGATCAGCCACGGAGTGAGCCGAGATGAGCCGAGGAGCCGAGATGAGCCGAGAGGAACCGCGGGGAGCCGACAGGAGCCGAGGTCAGCCGAGGTCAGCCGAGGTCAGCCGAGGTCAGCCGGGGAGCCGAGGTTGGCCGAGGTTGGCCGAGGTGAGGAGAATGCCGCATCGCCGAGGATTGTTGAGCCGAGGAGGGCCGAGGAGAGCCGAGGAGAGCGGGGAAGAGGAGAGTCCAAAGTCGCCGATGTGCTAGTCGATGTGCTAGTCGATGTGCTAGCCGATCGCCTAGCCGGGGAGGGCCGAGAGGAGCCGACATGCTAGCCGAGGTGAGCCGAGACTGACTGCCTCGGCAGTGCCGCCGGCGGCCGCCCTCTTCGCGATCCGCGAGACAGCACGCGACCTGGGGTTCGTCAGCCGAGAGTAGTTGATTACCGAACCCGCGCACGGACGCACCCCCCGACAGCGCGGCGAGACCCGTCCTTTGCCATGCGCGGCCCGGCCGGCTGCAGCGCCAGCTCGCGCACCTGAGGCAAGGCGAGGTCAGATCAGGCCGTACCTCACCTCCCGCACCGACCCGACAGCGCACACTCCGGTGGCGAGACGCCGTCCGCGGCGGGCGGGGGCGGGGGCGGCCGCAACATCGCCCGCACCCGCCACCGCTCGCAACTACGCTCGGCGGATCTCGGCGGATCTCCCGCACCAGCCACACAACGAATCTCGGCCAACCTCGGCGAATCCCGGCTCATCTCGCGCACCAGCCAGTGCACGTCGCGGTGCACGAGCACGCGCCGCCTACGCACACCCCGCCATGTGCACAGACGCCGCTCACAACCAGTGCACGCCGCGGTGCAACCGCACTCGGCACCCGCCGCCGCTGCAGCGAGCCGCCGCCGAAGCAGAGGTGTGTGTGACCACGCCGCCGCCGCCGCGCTGTTCGCACTTTCCGTCGCCACTGCAGTCGCCGCCTCCGCCTCCACCTTCGTCCAGGACGTCGTACGCCACGCCGCCGCCGCGCTGTTTGCACTCGCCACCGCCATCTCCGCCTTCGCTTCCGTGCCCACCTCCCTCGCCGTCCCCGCATCTGCACTGCCTGCACTCGTCATCGCCACTTCTGCCTTCGCCTCCGTCCCCGCCTCCTCCGTCCAGCCGAACGTCGTACGCCACGACGCCGCCCGCAATGCCGCCAGCCCCCTTCAGAAGAACGTCGACGGCGCGGACTGTGCCTGTTCACGGCCGGCGGCCGTGAAGAGACGCTGTTCACGGTGGCGACCGCTCGGCGAAGTCTCGGCAAAGTCTCGACGCAATCTCGGCACAATCTCGTGCGGTATCTCCGGCATCTGCAGCCGGTCAGACAGGAGGCTAGACGCAATCTCGGCGAAATCTCAGGCGCAATCTCGGCACAATCTCAGGCGCGATCTCGGCGCAATCTCGTGCGCCTGCCGCCCAGTCAGACAGCAGACCAGACGAGTCCTCAACGGCGCACGAGACACGATCGCCGACGCCGAAGCGGCGCCCGCCGCCGCACGTGGCCTCTCTCGCCGCACCCCGCCGCGGCGCCGCCACCCGCGCCGGCCGGCACGACTCGCTCTCTGAGCAGCGCTCGCTCTCTGAGCAGCGGGCTGCGTCGCACCGTCGCCTCGCGGCCTGCGGCAGGCTCATGCGCGTGAACCTGTTCACAGCATCGCGGGTGTGAACAGACGCCCTCCACGGCTGCCGGCGGCGGAGCAGAGCAAGTCTCGCGGCCGCCGCCACGGATACCTCTAGCCGGGGGCGTGATGTGTGGGCCGGCATCGAAGAGAGAGAGAGGCATCACTTATCAGTCTCGGGTAATCTCGGGTAATCTCGGGTAATCTCGGGTAATCTCGGGTAGTCTCGGGTAGTCTCGGGTAGTCTCAGGCATCAGAAGGAGTTCTGGGTGAGAACAGAGTTCTCTGGGTGAGCTCAGCTGTGAGGCTCCAAGTCGTTTGCTCTCCCTCCCTCCCTGTGCATGACTTGCTAGCGGGGCCCGAGTATTGTACACAAGTACTGCACGAACTAGGTGGTAAGGCATATCGGTTCCCTAGCGCTCGCTTGGTCTTGCGCATCTAAGGAGAGTGAACCAGAGGGCGCCCGCCCGCTGGCCAAAGCAGACCTCGGCGCGGATCAGGTCGTTGCTGTCCTGCGGCACCGACACGAGCCGAGCCGTTGGCGGGTCCGTCAGCACGATATAGGCGAACTTCCGCCGCCCTGAGCCGTCGTCCGGGTCGGGCTCGTGGACAGCGTGCACCACGCCAGCCTCCCACGGCCGCGCACCACCAACGTTGCAGACGACGCGGTCGCGCCGGACAAAGCGGGCCGGCAGCGACGCGCTCACGGCGCCGCGGATGCGGCCGCGGTCGGCGGCGGTCAGCGTCAGCCGGTTGTTTGATGCGAGCGTCTCGAAGAAATTCTGCAGTAGCTCGAGCTTGACAGCGCTCCGATTTGGCCCGCACAGCCTGCCCGCAGGGTCGCACGCGGCCAGCTCGGCCGTGATGGCGTCGTCGAGAGACTCAAGAAGGCGGACCTCGCTCGGCGTCAGCGAGGCCATGGGAGTGGAGCAGCGCCCTGTCTCGCTCCCAGGGTTCCGACTATTTGCGGGGTATGGTATGGTGCTCGGACAAAGGGTGGGGGGGTATGGTCCTGACCGCCAAGACTAGCCCTCGACAGGGGTGGGGGGGTATGGTCCCTCGGCCCCTCCCTCTACTGCCGCCGAGCCCTACCAGGGCTGCCCCGGGGGCGTCATCGCGGACGAGCCGGAGGAGCACTCCCTCTTCGCCGAGTTCGGGATGTACTACAAGTCCCCCGAGATTGCGCCGCTGGCGCAGCCGGCCAACCCGCTCGAGGCGATCACCGGCGAGGCGACCACCGGAGCGGGCGCGGCACCCACCGGAGGGGCACCCGCCGGCACGGCGATGCCCATTGAGGACCTCGCCGGTGCGGTGGCCCGCGGGGCGGCCGGCGCGGCGGCCACCGGAGTCGCCCGCACGGGGACGGCCAGCGCGGCG